TTTTTTTGTACAACCATTAAAAAAACTACTAAAACTAAAATGAGAGAACAATCAGCTGTCGTAATAAGATGTCCCACAAATTATTTTTGCCAGTAAAAAAAAAAAAAGTTTGTCCGCCACAAGGCAGGGGAGAACACCACAGGGATAAACCCTGCAGGCCTGACAACAGGCGTATGATTCCTCCGGTTTTCCACCTGGAGACATTGTTCAGTGGAGATGGTGTCTTCCTTTGTGACGTTCATTAGTACCCTTACTGACACAAAGCAAAACAACAATCACACAACACACTAGCTATGCACTCCACCCTAAACGTTACACATCTCTTTCTCTCTCTCGCCCGCTGGATCTCGCTGCCGTCACTCCCAAATTTTTCACATCATTCCGAAACAATAAAATCCCACATGATGCCACTTTTTTTTATTTGTCGACATGATACATTTTTCCACCAATAGCAATGAGGTGCTTTTTTTTCTCTACTGTTTAGTATTCAGAAAAAGCATTGCATATATATATATATTAGGGAGAGAGAAAGACTGCTATGTCAGCTTAAATCGGTCATGTGCGTATCTGCACACATCTGCTACTGTGTGTGTGTATGCCAGAAAGATGGAGAGAGTATGAAGGTGCTTCCTCCTCCTCTCACCTTTCATCAGGTAGACAACACCAGCTAGGCATCCACTGTTAATTGGCTCTGCCCTGCCAGAGTCCGTGCAGCTCCTTTTCCACTCCTCCTTTCCCAACAGTTCCTCCCTTCATCATCACCTCTTATCATACTTAACAATTCCTTCTTTACACCCTTGTCCTTTACCTGTTATGCAAGGTCTAATTGGAATACAGTAGCTGCTTTAGACTGCAGTGTGGCAGGTTTAATTATAGCTTTTTGTACATACTAAAAGATATCATCTTGTATGAGATATTTCTCATATTTTATTTGTAGATTTGTTTAAACCTGGTTATTAAGTTTGTGGGAGTGATGCAACTATAAGCCTTTTTGTCTAAACTTTGTCCCATGTGAGTGAATTACTCAGAGTAAACACTAACAGAAAACTGCAATTCAATATTCATATTTAGGACACAAAATACTTAGATTTATGCTGTGAAATGTAACATGATGAGTTCTTCTTTTGAAACGCTTTTTTTTGGTTTTGTTTTGTTTTTCTATGTGTGCTACAACTTGCCTTGAGGCAACAGTTGCTAAGATTTGGCCCCATTTATAAATTGAATTAAATTGAAAAAAAAAAAACCATACTATATGTATGTTTGAACAACCACGTCTTATACTTACAGAGAATGGTAGGAATAATTTCCTGAAGCACTTTTTATGGTTGAGTCAGTCTGAGGAAGGAGCTCTGCTGCCTCAGAACTGTCTTGTGTAGGAGGTGTCATGAGTTGTCCATGATACAGAGGAAACACAAGTGAACTGAGCTGGAGATGTTTTGTTGTGCCTCTGAGTGGTAATTATCGTGTGTGATGTGGGATTTAAAAATTTAGAGATTTGCCTTTAAAGATGGCAGAAATGTTTAGATTACCTTCGTTTTCCAGGTACTTTTGATGATAATGTGGCATGTGCATAATTCATTACCTAAACCTAAACTTGTTAGATTGGTGCTGATTTAGAGCTGCATCATTTTTGCAATCAAGTGAAACAGGTTTGTAGTCATATTTATTAACAATTCAGCCTCATGACTAACATTTTCCTTTCACAATAAAGCCTAGCAGCTCTGAGCAATTTCTGACAGTGTAACATTGCTGGATGAGGCTGGGCTTCCGATGTTAGACGGGATTTTTTTTTAGCAGTATACTGATAGATGTTCCAGCCTTGACGTTGTTTCTGTGTTCTTGTGGCTGCATATCAGGACACGGGCTGCATTGCTGTAGATAATATGTGAGAGCACTTTGCAGAGCACTGTAGGACTGGCTGCAGTGGCTGATCCTCCCCACTGAGCACACTGACCTCCACATGGAAGAAAGAGAGGAGGGGGAGGAGAAGATGCAGCTATTCTCTCTATTCTTTTTGTTCTCCTTCTCTCCAAGTGCCTTGCTCCACAGGCTGGCTGCTTGGAAATGGCATTGCTGCAACCCCTCCTCCTTCTTCACTCTCCCCCTGCTTTTCCTGCATCTCTGGGGTCCCAAGAGCTTTGTGAGCGTCTGTTTGAGCCAAATGCCAGCACTCTGCATGCCCTCTCCCCCCTTCCTTCATCTTCCTGCGTGTGTATGAGAGAGTTGGGGGATTTCTTTGGATGCCTTCTTTATTCATGATGGGGGTTGCCTGTTGCTGTGTTCTAGTGCTTCATCCCCAGCGTTTGTGCAATTGGCGTGTGAGTAAGAGAATGTTATTGTTCACAGTTTCACCATAAGCTCTTTTCACACATGTACTGCACCTCTACTGCATCCCAGTCCTTTGTCTATGACACTGTGCTTAGCACCACAAATTAGTTTAAAAAAAAAACAAAAACGAAATTTTTTCCCCATGATCTGATGGGATGCTTACATTTAAACATACACTTCAAATAAACTGAAACATCAAGGAAATCGAGCTAAAAAGTTGGTAATCTATGTACCATCAATATATCTTAACTCAACAACCAGCTGACATATCCTTTGAAACCTGACAGCTAAATTGCCTAGATGTGAGGCTTGTGAGGCTTTCACTGTGAACATATCAGAAATTTTACATCTAAATGTAGGGATGGGTATTGATAAGATTTTCACGATTCCGATTCCATTTTCGATTCTGTTTAACGATTCGATTCTCTATCGATTCTCTTATCGATTCTTATTTTTTAAAAAGGTTGATTAGCTTAGAACTTTGTTTTATATCTTCTCTTTGAACAAGACAGACATTTAGGAGTAACATGGCCTTACAAACCCAACGGTGAGATCTTAAGAGACCCACAGCCTGGCTCTTCAATGGGGTGTCACAGTGTCCCCAGGAAACAAAAATTGTAAATGTAAAATAATAAAATAAATATTCTTCTGTAACAATAACAAAGTATAACATAAATTATTCTGTAGCAATTACACAAGAATATCCAGTAATGTCCCTGCCTACAATTAAACACATTCACTTACTGAAAATCGGGGGCACCTGCTGTGGCAAACCTTGGGCACCTGCTGTGCAAGCCTTTTACCACAAACTTAGTCACTGCTCGGTGACATTCGTCTATCCTGCCTGAAAGGAGACGCTACCGGTAGACTGCAGCGAGAACTGCCAGCATCTGAGGCAGCCAGACTCTGTCTCTCTCATCATGGTCACCTAAATGCACAGTAATAGCAGGTTTTGTAATAAGGCAGATCACGCTAACATAATATGCACTGTTAGTTGATTATTTACCTGCCGCATTAACGGGAGAGGATGTGCAAACGTTACCGCTGCTGCTGGGTTGAGATTCACGAGTCCAGAGCGGAATTAAAAACACGACATTCATTTAAGATTATCACGTGTTTTGTGAGCAAATGCTTTTGCATATTCGTAGTGTTTCCTCCCTTAAATGAAATATCTACTTTGCAAGTATTGCAAGTTGCCCTGTTGTCATCCGTTCTCGTAAAGTATAATCAAACTTTTGAGCGTTTGAGCCGCCATGTTTCCTGCCAGATAGGGCTGCTCGATTATGGCAAAAATGATAATCACGATTATTTTCACTGAAATTGAGATCTCGATTATTTGACGATATTTATTTAACCCTTTAAGACCTACTATAGAACCAAGTCCGCCAGAGCTTATATTATTTTTTTACATGTTGTAGTGCCATTTGTGGGAGCATTTCAAGTTGCTATACAACTGTTATAGCCCATATTTTAATAATATGTGCATTAAGTCCATAGTAACTACATTAATTGCAAAAAAGTGCAATGAACTACAAAAAAATTGAAAATCGTTTTTGGTTTTTTTACATATCTTTCTACTTGGAGAAATTTAAGAGATTTATCCCTCAAAACTTTAAATACAAAAAAGTTGCAAAGAATAGTTTACAACAACAGGAAATTTAGTTTGAGTGTCTTCATAGTTTTATTTTGGAGATACACCAATTTTTATATACTGCA